TTTATCATTCTCATATCATAGTAAGAATTGTAATTACAGGTTCGTTATACGTTTAATTATTCATTTGTCGTGGTAGATTGTTGACGTATTTAAATAAATGTAAAATTGGTATATAAATTAACAAGTTGTGAATTTGGTATACTAGTCTTGCTTTTTTAACACAAACGCAAAATTCACATTGTAAAAGGGAAAATTAAAAGATCTATAGACTCCTTAGAACATCAGCTTAAATAAAATTACAATCAAAGAATAAAACGGTATTATGTTTGTATTGTGCATTTCTAGATGGCGCTAGAATCGTTTTAGATCGCGGTGGTTTTACGTGATTTTTTATTTTTCTGCTATGAAACTAAATGAATGCCTCACTCTGTAATATTGTATTTTATTGTGATTTATTTACTTTAGAGTTCAAGGCAGTTTATCCGGAATGTCTATGTAATACGTCAATTGCCTTTAATTGTTATGCTTAAGTCGAGTGGAATCATGTTACACGTTACAAAGAAAGCGTAAAATGAGATACCCATTAACGTATTTAACAAAACAAATGAATCACTTTAATTGTTTTCAATTTATTGCGTAGAATGAAATGAAATAGAAAAACATTAACGTTATAATACTGGCCAGTGTTATGAGTTCGATTTTAAAAAAAATATGTTTCATCACATACTTTGTGAATGAAGGTCAAATAACAATTAGGTTTGTGCTTGCAGGTGTGTAGATGGATTTACTAAGCTAAGTTCGGTCCATAATTTATACGTCCAGGTTCGAAACACATTTATCCATGTGTTTCGTTTTACGAATTTCACATATACGACCGACGTTTTTACGGTGAAGGAGAACACTGTGATGCAACCTACATATCTGGGAAGAAATGTAAAGATATGTGTGTTAACCTACAGTGAGTCAATGTGGTTGACTATGGCCTAGTCATGAATAGTTTAGAGTATGCTCCGAGCCCCTTAGTAAAGGCTTTTAGTGAGATGATGGTGATGAATCACTTGCTATTTATTTGCGTTTAGTTTATCAAAGTACGTAGTTAGAATATTCAAGAACATTTGATTTAGTTATACGAATCATTCGTCTCAGTTATTCCGTGAATTAACCGTTATCTAATCATCTGAAATTGAATCGAACTATGTAAAGCAGATTATGCAGTGAGGCGGCGAGGCAGTCAGCGACGATTCGATAGCTCAGCTTGTATTGCGGCACGTTCGCACTTTCTGGTGGTCAGCGCTTCTCAAACTGTTCACATCAGTTTTATTTTATAACGTAATCTATTATGTATTGATTTCTATATTAATTTCGTGTATTAGGCGTCTTAATTACATATTCTAGAAACTCGTTTAAAAAAAAGCTAGTCACTTTGTAAATTAAACAATATCTAAGTTTGTAAATTACTGTAGTTTTAATCGACCATTTAAACATAATCAAGTCTTAAGGTAATCCATCACTTTACTCTACCCGTGTTTAATTTAATATAGTTGAAACTTGCAATTGAATCGAACAAAATGTTTATATTTAAACTCAAATTAAAAATGTTCTACCAAGATCTTGAGACGGGACGAGATAAAAGCGTCTTAAAAGAAATTGAGGTGAGGTCCGACGTCACGACTTTTATACAAGTATTTTCAGATCACTTACATCAAACTTTTGCCGTACCCGAAGCGTCTTACCGCTTTAAAACTTAAAAGTGGATAGAGTTTCGAATCTTAAAGCTCAAGAGTTTGGAAGATATTGGGGAAACGAACATGAAAAATTTCGCTTCGCAAGCGTTCAAAGTGGTAAGTACTGTGAAATTTTGTTACGATCAAATTCTGAAAGCGATCGTTAACTGCAATTATTAGTTGAAGATCATGTTCATTCTGTTTGGGAAGTTAAGAAGAGATTCTTAATAATAAAACTGTGTTTAAAAGGTGTATTTATTTGAAGAAATTCAACTTGCAGATTTTTTGTACATAACTGTTCTTTCTTTTTTTATACAATAAGGTGGCAAATGAGCAAGCAGCTACCTGCATCCGCTAAAATGGCGAAGCAACTGCTGCCCATAGACGGAGGAGGAGACGTACATAAAGAGGACATATCCTCCTCCTATGTGTCTCTTCCACCGTCAAATCCACTTTCCCATTCAATCCCTGCCTTATCAGAAAAGGGTGGAACAGAAAAGGGACTAAAATTGGGCCTCCAGCACCACACTCATCACACGAAACCTGGAGTTGCCCCACTTCAAACTTGTCTTCTGTGTGGTCGTAGTATTGTACCGGGCTAGCCGACCCATTCGTGCGAAGATGTTAAAGCGGGCTCTACCACTGTTAAAAAGTTTATTTGTCTAGATTTCTTATTGGATTATTCTTTTTGATTACTTTAAACTATAATCCTTTTAAATAGGATAATATCGACACTTACTAACTATCAATTCGGGACTCAGTGCGAGTCCTGTTTAGTAAAGCTTGTCTTGTGGCGCATCAGTGGAGAAAGGCACGGCCGATTACATTTGTATGAGTAATTTAGTTTGAATTCCTGAAGTTGCACTACTTTAGCTAGATTTTTTTGTTTTGATATTATTTGTTTGTCAGTAAAACTAAATCTGATTTACAGTTATCGAATAAACAAAGATAAATATGAACAAATACTTTATCGGCTTAGAGTAAATTGTTCCGAGTAAAACGCTTCTGAATAAGATTTACGTTCAAACCTCTTTGTAAGTTATTGGGTGAGTTCTATTCTTTTGTTCGCGGCTCTTATTATCAGAAGTTTATCGGCCCAAGAACACTACCCTGTGACACGCTTATTTTCGAGCTATTGTCCTTTGGAAAGTAATGCATAATATATAACCACCGCCTTGCGGTTACAAGGGAAATTGGAAAGCGGATAAAAGTTATACTGGAAATATTTTCTACTGTTCCGCTTAAAGCATTATTTTCATAGAAACTCAGATATTCAAAATCACTACCTTTTTACGTATAACCTAATTCACACAATCCATCCATTTATGTCTTCAATTTAGGATTGCATTATCAAGCAATTTACAGTGGTAGAGCCCGCTTTAAAATCTTCGCACGAATCGGTCGGCTCGCCCGGTGCAGTACCACGATCACACAGAAAACAGGCATAAAGTGGATGCAATTCCGCGTTTCGTCTGATGAGTGTGGTGCCGGAGGTATAATTTTAGTCCCTTTCCCTTTCCACCCTTTTCTTAAGAGGAAATGATGGGAAAGAAAAGTAGATTTGACAGTGGAGAAGATGCATAGGAAGGGAAAATGTCCTCTTTATGTGCGTCTCCTACTCCGTCAATTAAGGGTAGGCAACGCATCTGTAATTGCAGATATTTATGGGCAGCGATCTCTTTCCATTTCGGTGGATTCAGGTGGCCGCTTGCTCGTTTGCCATCGTATATTATAAAAAAAGCATATTTAATTGCACTGTCTTTGGTGTTTTATAGATATGGTATTTGCAATTGAATGTTTATATAAAATACTGAAAGAGTTAACCAACAAGACTGTAATCATAACGGGCGATATCAATCTTGATATTATGCCAAATAATGT